TACTTAATGCACCACGAATGTTTAAACTCATTGACTGATGAACATATGGCGGCTATTAAATTGTACATAAGAATAATACATAAAACAGGAACAAGAATCGCTTATAAAAAATATACATGCAGATTATAGCGATGAAAATTTGAAAATTCTACGCACTGCGCGGAAATGCACGGCAATTTCTTCGTTTGAGAGACGAGAGTGCATCTAGTTATTAATACGGCGACAGTTTCCTACAGTTCCTACAGTTAAATTATTTTCCCAGGTACCGGAGACCAGTTTTTTCGTAACGGGCTTGTCTTCCGCAAAAAAGCTTTCTCCTTACTGCCGAGTATAACTCATCGAGCCTGCCTAAACCATTGCAGCTATATTTCAATCTTTTTACTTGGCGCATTCAATTAACTCGGGCATAAATTTCAACGCGCTACACGCGATATATATCCGTGCACATTACTAACCCTTTTACTACACCTTTAATAAGATGCTCAGTTATTCTTTAATAATAGTAAATCACTCTTTTTTTCCACGGCTTTAACGGTCCTCGGTAACGTGAAAATCCGTACCACGATGTGGCGAGCTTATTTTTTTCGGAGATGATTGATCGATACGGCACCGGTGCCGCGCCACGCGTCGGAATTGCCGTGTAATTCCTGCAAATTGTTTGCAAATTGTGCGCTATTACCATCCATGAATTAGAACGGGATAACGATGGCAAGCTATAGCGCATATTTTGCTCTTGAAAGAAGAGTGTAATTAACAGAAAAAATGAGAGAGAAAAAGAGAAAAAGAAAGAGAAATTGCCTATTTTTTAAATTATTACGACCTATATTGCAATGAGATTGACTGATACCGGTTTACAAATTCTTTGTAAATAATAATAATAAAAAATATGAGTTTTGAAAAACCCTCAAATAAATTTACTCATCTTTTAAGAAATATTTCAGTTAGATGTGACCTTCAAAATTAAAAAAAAATCTTAAATTTCATATTTAAAACGCATACTTTATTTAAAAAATAAAAAAAATTGAAAAAACATTCTGTTAAAATTAATTTAAAAATTTTTAATAAAGTATCACATTCTGCTAATTTTCAAATCCTCCTTGAAATAATGTTTAATTTGAACTCTGATGTTATCGAAATATCTCAGTTATTTTGAGACAATCGTATATAATACAAATCAAAACAGATACGTGCGCGCGCGTGCGATACACACAAATATGGAAGAAAACAAAAATCATATTACTTTGCTTGTTATAAAGCTTTTCAATCTTCGCATGCTCGAATCGTTCCATTACCTTATTACTCCTATTATGCAGATTTACTAGAGATCTCGTTATTTCTTTGATATTGCGTAAGAATGAATAGATGGAAATGTGCATCCATTTATATGCTTCGTACCAAAGTCAGAAACTTCCCTTCATTGCATGTCTTACAACTAGGTATTATCATTACTTTTCAAAAAAAAGCCACGTCAGCGTTCCGAAGAACTTCCATTCAAGCCCCCGTTCACCATGCGAAGCGTATGAACTTCATCGATAAAACGTCACCTATGTATCACGCATCATGCATCATCGTACACTCAGCATCGCGCGGCATCCGTTTTTCCCTCCCCCGGTACACCTAATGCCTTATGTAAAGAGTTATAGAGCAGCATAACAGTGTCGGGATGGTATTAAATCGATCTCCCTGTCGAGTCCAACTGCATCCAACGGAGGATTCGCTGGAACAGGATGTCAACGGATTTCACGAAAATCAGAGGCGACCTGCACCACTGCGCTGCAGGTTGGCGCGTAATCCTGGGAACTTTCAGTTGGTTTTAATGCGATTAAGCCGTGGAAGGAGCACGAAGGGGAGCGGCAAAATCAGCTCTCGCAGTCCTCTATACGAATATCCCGAGACAGAGTCCGAAGAAGGACCGGAATATATAATTGCGACTTCGCAAAGGCCAGTGCCGCGCGCAGCCCCGGAATTAAGATCAAAGGAGATCAACGGTTGTTTTTCTTTCTTTTTTTTTCGCAGAAGTTCAAATGTACGAGTTCTGAAAGTTCGAGAACTAATAATCATCCATCGTTCACAACTCTCTCTTCCCAAAGTTATCAAAAAAAAAGAGAGAGAGAAAAAAGAAACGGACTAGCAACGACGTTGTCAGAAACAAGAGCGAACATTAGCAGCAACGGTTAATTACGTGCTTGTATAACCCCTTCCAGTCTGAACTTGCAGCCTTTCCTCTGCTGTCCAACAGCAGTGCGAGCACTGTTTCGCGACTCTCTAACTGCGAAAGTTCGAACAGTTGATGTTGCAAAGAGTTTAAAACTAATTAAAGCCGCGTCATGCGACTTTATGAAGAATCTTGTTTCGCCGCGTGACTGTGCGAAAAACTTCTTAATTTTAAGCGATATTAGCGACGTATCTCCTCATATTTAATCTACGTTGAAAATAGAGGTGCATAAATTCAATTTAAGGCAGAATGAAAATTATCGATTGCATAACGGTTCGTTCGGAGCAACCCCTCCAATCGAAAGAATTTTTAATTAAACGCTTAGACAGCCGACAAATATGATATTTTCCCTGTCTGCGTCTAGAATAGAGCGGAATTTTCAATTAAGACTAAATGTCGAATAACATCTCAAATTAAGGTACATTAGAATTGGATCAAATATATTTATTAATTACAGTCTAGCGGAAACAAGATTAATATTGTACCTATATGTATAAATAAAGTGAAAAACATCACAACATTTTCATTCAAAAAAACATTCGACGTGAAATATAATTCATTAACTCAATTACACATGTGCTTTTTTTCTCTCAATAAATAATTTAAAAAATCAGTTTCGATTTTGTCATTGTTGAAAAATTATCTTAAATATTCTCGCAAGTATTGATTAGGTGATGCTGCCGAACGCTATAGCAGGAAATATTCGTCTCTCTCTGAAATATTTGAACGGGCAAAGATGCAATTTAAAGCCGGTTATTGCCGAAAAGCGGTGCTCTTTTCAGTCTCGATCCGCCGCTAAGTCCGCTCATATATCCGCTCGCGCCGCATCGATATAGACACGTAGATCCACGTGATTTTCAAGGATAAGACACGCTGACCGTGAACGATATTCACCGACGGCGTCTCCCACGAATTTCTGTTCGTTTTCTGATCGTGGGTGAAACAGAACCGAAACGAATGGGCGATATGGATATCGAGCATCGGAATTGGGAATGGTTAACCGCGCCGACCAAAAAGCATGGGAAAAAGAAGACCGAGAAAAAGGAGTATAGAAAGGGAAGAGTTGAAAGAGCGGAAAAATGGCGAGTAAAGAGTAACCGAGAGGGAAAACGATGTTTCACAATCGCGTGCTCATACGCGGAGATAATTTTCGCATGTCGAGCGGCGGTTCCGCGGCTCTGCCGCTTCGATATCTATTGCAATGCAGAGATTGTACATTGCGCAGTTTGTCTTCTTTATTGGCCGCGACAACGATGCATGCGTCATGCATGTGTCGCACGCAATTCCGGCCAACAAATTAATGAGATCCATTCCTTACTTACAACGCAATGAATATTATTAAATAAAAGAGTACAAAAGTAGAATATCTATATTAAATAGAACGATAGAATAGAATAGACTATATATTTGAACAGAATATTATTTTTCGACGTGTGTTATCTGTCTGAAATAAATCGCAATATAAAAAGCATGTACATTTTTTCTTTCGCAGTCACGAAACTGTTCATGCTTTCTATCTCGCGGTATCAAATGTAAAGTACAATATTGGCGCAATATTGATACAGACGATTTATGATACAATTTCTCACATTTTTGTGCGCTAATTTTCACAGCGTTTTTTAAATATAATGCATTTTACACGGGAAATATCGATAACCGAATTTGCTTGTTCTTTACATAGACTACATAGAGAAAAAGAAAATCATAATTCGATTCTAGAAAGTGTGTTGTACCTTTTCTAGGTTATATAATAAGCTGCAATATCATGTTGAAAAATAAAAACGTGGATAACTTTATTTCTCTGCTATACTACAGTGATACGACGAGGTATATTCTTTTCTCTCTCACTGCTCTCGCTTAACGAATGAAATATTCCGTCCTTCGTTTGTAAACTACATTTGCTCGCGCTGACAAGAAAACTAAATCAAAGAGCATCTCACCGTCCTCATTTCCATAATATAAAATTAATAAAGTTGCCTTATATATATTAATTTAAGTTAATGTACGTGTCGCGAATACGACCTTGCACGTATTATTCATGCAAAGTACATTACAGTAGTAAAAAAAAGGCAAATCTAACGCAAAATGTATTTAAAAAAACCGACATAATAATGTATTCATTAATAATTTCATAAAAAGCCATCTAAAGAAGACTGTGCTGATGCTTAATAAATTTTTTAAAGAAAGAAGTCCAAAGTATTCTTTTAATTTCAATATAAGAAGGAAATATATCCATAAAAGATCGAATAAAGATTATATAAGCGCAAGAATAATACGGCAAGTACTTTAGCAAGTACCTAATTCTATTGCCTGTTTAGAGCGAAAATAACGTTTGCTATGAAAACAGCCAGTTCAGGGTAGGAAACAAGAGGCAAATGAGTGAAAAAACAAGTAAAACGGCAGATCAGATCACCATTTTAATTGACTCTCTTCACCCTGCCAACCTTATGGTTCTTCTAAAACTGCATTTGCACGGAAAGCAGATACTTTCTATGCAAATCGATGCGATGTTAAGTAGCTTCCCCTCCCCCTTCTAAAGCTATTCCCACTCTTGTCCAACTCGTTTAAGTTAGGCGACTTAACATTGGGAACTACCAAAGCGAAATCAACGTTTAATCCCGAAATTAACTGAAAATGATACGTACAATAACGCAGTAATATAATTATATAAAACGGATTATGTGAAATCAAAGTATAACAGATCAAATTTATTGCGATTTCATTAAATTAATTCGTGAACGTTTTTGCTTCAAAACCACTAACGTATAAATTAAATAAAACCATGTTATAGAGAGGAGAAATATATTTCATTCAACCGAAGTTTCAATTCCGCTGCAAAGTATGACATATTGTTCGGAAAAGTGCTGTTACATAAATTTTTTATCCAAAAAAAACTTCGCAACGTCGTAAAAGGCAGTTAAATTACTTATTAATTGTAAAAAACATTTGTATAAAACACGTTATTTGTACCTATGTTTTTTTCTTCTTTCATTTAATATGGCTTTTGTACGAACTTGAAATTTCTTTATTATATAATTTAGCACTCAACAAATCTTTATTACCACGATAATCGGCTCATTATACATTATTGCTTTATATTACGGATATTACAGATGACTCCACCGTCCGCGTCCAAGATCCCATCGGTTTTATCGTAATTTATCTGAACTTTCCACCCTTTTCTTGTTCCAGACAGACGGCCTGGACGTGACAAGAAAACAGCAAGTAGCTTACGTATACGCGGTCGCGCGTATCTGTCGAAGAGGTGACCGTTGCGACCGGTGAATAACCTTTCGTCCCTTCCAAGGAAAAGTCATGCGATTTTTCTTCCGATTCGTTCGCTAACGAGGTCCCAATTTCCAAAGGCGTGCCAGTGGGATTACGGTCTAGTCCCACGGCCGAATGTCTGAATTTTCGATGAACTACTTTCGCACGCAGAGATTCGTGTACGTTCCGACATACGAGAATATGGTCAGAGGAGTCCAAAAGAAATCCGGCGATAAGTCTGGCGTCGACATTTTTCGATGGATAGTAGAGTACGACATTTTTATTGACCTTCTGCACAGCTGAAACGCAACCACGGAATCATATACTTTTGATGTACTATCTCAATGAACTATCTCGTTTTATTAATAACGATATCTCTAACGACTGTTTAAGACAATTATATAACAGAATGAACGTTAATTATCTAACGACTCTCATCAATCCCACATTTTACGAGAGAGTAAGAATATAATCTAAACTAGCAGCACGTGTGTATTTGTGTGCCCACTCTCTTGGTGTATCTGGATTATCATTATCTCGGTAATGATAAAATGGTGAAACATAATAGTAATAACGGAAGGCTTGAATGGCATTAAAAAAGGGCAAAGTACAACGTGGAGGCACAAATGTTTTCTCTGCCTTGCTGTTTGCCCTCTCGTTACTACGTCTGACAGTGATAAACTCAATCTACTGAGAAAGCAAAAGCATACAACGGGCCGGTTTTACACGCAACCGTAACTGCGAGTTATGACGTTCGCGCCCCTCGGTGCAACGCACAGACACGCACTACCCTTCACTCTAGTGCACCTCATTCAACCCTTTGGTTACAGGTGTAAACTGTTGTCGTAGTATCTATCCCAAGAGCGAAATGGATGCATGCGAAAACATCATTCATCCTGAAAGCCATTCTTTCAGGCTATCTGAATGCAAATATTTATTGCGTTTGGACCTTACCCCAAGTTCAGAAGGAAATTTGATAAGATTTACATAACGCAATAATACAAAAGATATAAAAAAATTATACAAAAATAAAAATTCTATTCATATAAATGTATTTTTAAGTAAAAGAAACATTACAAAATTAATTTTTTGTTTAATTTTTTATTAGTATGATAAATTTCATGTATAATAAAGATCAATTTAATAGATTAATAAAAATAATTTTTATTTGCTTGTAAAAATCCGTATGTAATATATGCATTTATTAATTTAGCTTTATTAATATACATTTTCATAATTTCACGACCTTTACTCTTTTGATAGAAAAATTATTTAAAAAGACTCTGGTTCTGACAATCAAACATAAACGCTGAATATTCTTTATAAAAGAAATTTTAATATCTCAAAGAAAAAGTAATAACAGCAATCCGCTTCTAAAGCCGATTACACGTGCATGTCAAATTACTCAATATATTTTGTTACACAACTTTTAATTTATTGTCCAAGTTGGTTTACACCGCATGATACGAATTCCCTTTAGATAACACAAACTTTCTCATTATAACAAGCACGGAATATTATCTCACGGTATCCTCGGTATTTCGGCAATTTCATCTTGTTGCCTTGAAACCATGTAATTTCTGTAATTAATATCAAGCGCCCCGAAAAACTACCGTAACATACTAGGAATATGTGATACTGGCCAGTCTTAAAATCCTATTAAATCCTATATAAGATAATTTCGCAATGCGACATTGAGACAGTAATTGAAAGAGATAAATTATAGATACCCATATAAGGCTGTAAACTGTATTTAAAACACGGCGCAACGTGTGTGTCTGCAATTCCCTTTGACGGTAACAACTCTCAGTTATATTCGAGTAATACGTGGCGGAGTTGTGTTGTAAACCACGGGTCGTCGGATCAAAGGCCAGCATAGGGTTCTACGAGGTTTTGAAGGGCTTAGGAAATTCGAAAATGAAGGTTGCCTAGTGCAGACACGCTTGCGGTAAGATCAATCGCTTGTATTCATTCTAATCAGAATAGAGCACATATGGGAAGATATTAATTGTCCTGCTATTGTCCATTGCCACTTTTCAGTAAAAGGAAACATAATCAATAAATCTTCAATTAATATTTTCATCAATTTTAACACAACGAAGCAATTAATCCTCGATTGTAAACAATAAAAGATATATAATGTGTGGTGTATTCATGCGTGTATATAATTTTTATAATTTACATAAATTATAAAATATATATAAGAAATTTTTATGTTATTTTTAGGAATAATGTTTTTTATTATTCCTACAAATAAAATAAAAGATTAATCATAAGTTTAAGCATAAGCTTTTCTTTAGTTAATTGTGTTTATGATAATTGATACTGATTGTGTGAGATTAAATATGATTAATTACAACGAATCTACGTTCAAAGCAAGAATGCGATGCAAATTGATGTCATTCAAGGTGCCTATAAAAAATTATATTGAGAACACATCAAATCCTTATAAATTTAAAGTAATCCTTCTCGTAATTTTCTTCAACTTTCCAATATATCACTGTCCAAACAGTACAGTTGAGCTTCTCGTCTTTTTAATCTCATATTCTTTTGCCGTCACATCGCGTAAGGAACCTACCCTGATGAGGGCTGTAGTCAGAGCGTCGACGGCTGCGACCGTCTGGCGAGCCTAAAGGGTGACCTTCCAGTAGGGGAGAAACCACATCCGACGAACCGCGTCTTGATATAGCGCCAGATGAATGCTCGGAGTCCCTGCGATGTCTGACCACGTGCGGCGAGTCCTGGGGGCTACCGTGACCAGAGCTCATCGGTGTCCTCAGCGGAGAACCATGCGATGAATACGGAGAGCCCGGTGGCAGTATCTTCTCGGTGCCTTCGAGTGAATATCCGCGTAACAAATCGCACGAGATACCCGACACACGATTAACAAAAGACCGGCGGAGGCTGCGTAAATAAATCGCCGAGAAACGCAGGAAGAAATGTCGTCGATGTATTTTTGCAATTTAAACTTCCGACATTTGATAAAAATAGCCGACATATCGAAAGGACTTCAAGGACATACTTCAATATAGAGTTTATGTTAATATAAAATCAGCTTTTAATATACGCGAGAAAAAACACTATGCTCAACACGTAGAAATTGTCATTTCGCATTGAAATCTTTCTAACAAATTTTTACAATGAAATTTTTCGTATGTATATAAAAATTATTATTTTTTAATACAAATTTAATCACTTACTTTACACTCCATATTTAAAAATCATGTTTACACTCAAAACATTTTTTTTTTTTTTTAATATTGTGATCAATGCTTCATTAATGCAGAGTAAACTGAACCAGTCGATTATAATTGAAACAGAAGCCTATGGGTGAATATATTGACAAGGTGAACATAGGCCAGTACTTTTATTACGACCAAAACAAAGCTTGCGCAAACAAATGCAACGTACACATCTCGCGTTCGTTGGATGTGACGTTTCACGACCGAGGTAAATCACGAGGATAAAACAAGGAAGTTACGCGTTTAAAATAACGTTTTCCGAAACAAGTTTCCAATTTCGGACCCAGCGGACATCGCGCGTTCGTCTATCTTTTAATCGCGAACACGTCGAATACGTCATAGCTCATCTATCAACGCGGCCCAATTACGCGCTCTACCGATCCTCACGAGATCAATGAACGTCCAGCTCCTCACTGCGCGCCTATGACGTACATAATTGATCGTACGTTTGATAACCGTCCAAGTTCTCACGTGCAATTTTTTCTGATTATGATTAGATGTAATCTGTCTTCCGAGTTATTAAAATTTATTGCAATTATAAATATTTATCACAATTAATATTCACTACTTTAATGATCTTTTCTTTTGCTGCAATATGGAATATATATTTAGTAGCTACGTGTATTTAATAGATGTCATTTAGTAACTTTTTCCAGCAAATATTAAAAACTATACTGCTTAAGAAGAATAATTATTATTTTAAAATTAAAACATTAATCAGTCTAATGACATAGTAAAAAATTAAATAATTTCATTTATTATGAGAAGTTTAATTTCTTATATAATTAGTGAGATATTTTATATCGGAAACGTGTTAGACGATACGTATATTATAATATTTTAATTTTAAATTTGTTAAAGATAGATATATAGATGAAGAAAGATTTCGATATGTATTCCGGTGGTACATACGGTTGTCAATAAAATGCCCATTGTTCAAAAACAGCCTCCACGGTCTCTTTAGAATATTATGTAACCGTCACAGCGGAAGTTCCGATACCTTGATGAACGTTCGGATGATGAGAAATTCCGGACGCGGCTGTCGCATGCGTGGGAGGCGGAGGATGAACGAGACCGCCTGGTCCAAGAGGGTTGACGAACCCGTGGATCGGATTCCCGTGCATGGGACTAGCGTGGATCGAGCGCGATGGTACCATTCCGGGCAAAGGTATCTCTCTCGTTTGTACCTCGTGAGAGGCGGAGGCGGAGATCGAGGATGCAGAAACGGTCGTGCTTGGATGACCCGGAACGGGGCTGCTGCCATGCATGGCACCTCTTCGATGCTGCGACATAATTGGAATTCGATGACGCCGTGAACGGGGTAAAGGTAGTAGTAAGGAGCGGCTTAATGCTCCCCGGAGATCGACGACATCGAGGCACTCGAATTCACTCCGGCGGACGCTCGCCGCTGATATTTTCGATCCTCGTCTCCCAGTTATCCTCTAATATGTCACTTCGAGAACGCACCATCGAGAAGTATGGAGAACTTGAAAGGATGATAACATCCGTCCAGTATCGTGACGGTTTCTTCAATTGCTATTTCGTTTCCAAGTATAAGGAATGATTGCAAACAGATGTATTAATGCAACGTGATATATTTCTCTTCTATCTTTTCAGGAAGATGCATATATTTCTAGCACTCCACTGCTATAAAATCCCAATGGTTTTAGTGAAATTTGATCCACACCAAACTCTGTTGCAGATTTTCCGCTACTACAGAGTAAACTCGATATCTCAGGTATTATATTTCGGGTTATGTATCCACTCAAGCAGACAATCCACTGTAACTTAACTCTTTTTCTCCCCTAGTCTCCTATGATTTCTCTGCGAGCTCTGCGTCGCAATAAGTGTAACTCACACATACGCTTGCAATCGCTCTCGTTTAGCGTTTTATAGAAAATATGATTTGTGCTAATAGTTTTTATGTTTTCTCTTCTTAATAATATCAACTTAATTGATTATTTATTTTTAAGAAGATGAATTCTTGTCTCATTTGATACAATTACATGTCTCGAAGGTGCCGTGCTGTGCCGAAAGCACAATTCGCGGTACATTTATCGTATGTCGTTTGGCAGGAATAATTAACGTCGTTCCGTCTGCCAGATAATGGTCCCTCGTGTGACGGGATTTCGTAAACTCGGCGGACAGAGATTTATCGTGATATGTTTATTGGACGAGAAGAACTACATACATGGCGTAGTTTTGTTTCCACAAAGATTAAAAGTCAAATCGCCCTCAGTTAACTTTTATAAAATTAAATAGCAATGCTTTTTTTAAAGATATATAATCGTATTCGGTTCATGACCTATTATCTATTTAATGATTTTTTTTAATCATCCTTCTCATAAACAAACTACATTAAGTAATAATAATATACAAAGCTGTCTCAATTTCGTTAACCGCAGATTTTCCAGTCACTTTCAAAATAATTATATTTGCGTTGCTTTGACTTTACAAAAAAGTTGAGAGTATTCTCGCTGAGATAAAGAATCATACAATCATCAGTCTACAGTTTAAATTTTTAATGATACAAATCCTCAGTTCTCACGCAGCGAGCGAGATGCAAAGAAATGCGAACTTGTATGCAACAGATAATAAGCTCACCGGATTCTATTCCGACACGGCGACCAATTTTAACTCCGATACGGCAAACTTTAAACCTCAATTCTACGATCAAAGTCTACGCGCAACTTTCAATACGTGCAACTTTCTACGCGAAAAATGATTATCTAGAGCTAATATAAACAGCGGATCCGTAACGATATTCCGATCGGCTTATTACGGGAGACGCAGCTCTCGCTCGCAATACTCCAAAACGCAGGACAGCCGCCAATTAGCACCACAATGAGAACTTTCCGTCGGCAAGCTTCTGCCTCTATAGTGCTGGCCTGACCTTGATACTTCGGACTTGTTGATTTAAGACACTTGTTGGTTTTGAATCGTTAACATAGTCATTGCAAGGATACAACTGTTTTTCTAATTTCGTCAGTTATAGCGTGAAAAGAATCTCACTTGACAATATAGTTATTAGATCCTACAACTTTTTGCCTTTACGTTTGTGCAACTACAATGTTATTCTTTGCTTAAAAATGATACTGTAGTCTATTTCGACGACTTTGAATAGAATTTTTTGTAGCAAAAATGAGTCTCTTCGACAAAGAAAATTAAATAAAAACAGCTCCCAATAATATTACGGAGATATCATCTCTTAGTTAAGAATCACATAGAAATCTTAGTTAAGAATTACAAGCTCCATCCAACATTAAACAAGACGTATTACTATGTGTTTAAAATACTTTCGTTCGAACGCAGTTTAAGATGATGCCGTACTGTAGCCTTACTTTCGACTCGTGAAACGCAAGGGTCCATGAAAACGCGATCGGTCTAAATACGCGAATAATTCGTAGAATTACCCACAAGTGTAACAACCGTCTCTTGACTTCGTTAAAACGAGTACACTTTTACGATCGTCACGAGCCACGTGTTAACAACCGAACCGAAAATAATGGTCAATTAACGTGGTCATTTGACGCTTGGGAATTTTTACAGTTCATTTACTATCGTTAGACACATGTTTTCTTATAAAGTAAATCTCTCGACTCCAAATTAGTAACTTGTTGATAAGTAATTATAGTATGATTATAATTAGTAGAAAAAATGGAGTACGCTGATGTACGCGTAATCCATGCACGCTAAATGATGTTCCATTTAATTAACAAAATACACCGTTCCAATTCTTGCAAGATGAATCAGTACTTCAATTAAATGATTGGCGAAAGAAGGTTATACACACTGTCATACAATTAGCACGTAACAGCACAAATCGTTAAATACACACTGTACTCCGAAGTCACGGAACGAATTCGTACGGTTATCCACAGGTGGACACAGCGGTCGGTGACTTCGTTAAAGCAACCCCACTTTCACGAGGATTATCACAGACCACGTGCTAACGATCGAAGTTCCCCTCTCAAAAAAAAGCAAGGGGCATAGATAAAGCGACCGTTTCGCCAGACGGACTATTTTTCACCTACGCACGTCGCAGCTGCAACGACGCCTCGCGTTACACAGCGATGCTCGATTCACGGAGGCAGAAAAAAAAGTGGAAAAAAAAATACGGGGGAGAGCCAGAGGCCGCGATGGTTCGCCACTCGTCGGCTCCCGATTAAAAAGCCCGAAATTCCGGCGCGGCGAGCCGGCGGCAGCGCGACGGAGCGAATTACATTCGCAGCCGGCGAATCGAGTTTTCCGAAGCGGCGAGCAGAGCGACGTGCAGCGACCGCGCGACCGTATTTTCCGCGAGCACGTTTTCGCCGGCGATTGCGGGAGCCGTCGCGACGCCGGCAATGTCGGGGGTGAGTCGTCCGTGTGCGACAGGGAGCGGCCGCGCGAACACTGAAACCAACCCACGCCACCATCACCATCACCACCACCACCACCACCACCACCACCACCACCGCCATCAACCCACCTATCCACCCACCCACCGCCGCCGCTGCCGCCGACACTACCACCGTCAACGATGCCGCACCCTCTCCTCCGACGCCCGTCGTTCCCACCACCATATCACCGTCGCCACTACTACTACTACCACCACTGCCACCACCGCCACTACCGCCGCCACCGCCGCCGCCACCGCTGTGTTCCGCGAACCCTCCGATTCTCTACCCTTCAACCGCTATCCATCGCCACTACCACTACCATCATCACCAACACTATCATCAGAGAAGTTCTCGTATAGGTGAAAGCCTCCCCTTCCTCCTCTGTTCGCCGACGTTTGCCCTCCCTCCCCCCGCGACTACCGACACGGCAGGTAGATACCAACGACGCCTCTGCTATCCAACCCCCTCGCTTCCTTCTTCTGTATCTACCTTCGAACTTCGCCATCCCCTATTCGAGAGAGTACGCTCCCTTCGCCTTTGCATCCTTCGTTCGTGCACAAGTGCACACGCGCGTAGATAGGTAAGTAGATGCACACGGGGAGGATAGTCGCGTGGGTTATTTCAACTGCCACACGTCGCAATACACTGCAGGCGCGTTAAGCGTGCGTAATTACTCGTCGGTATTGTTGCACTCGCGATGATACCAACGATATTTTTATCATTAATGGACCATCGGCGAGCATTAATTTTTCGTTTTGTACAGGATTTCATAAAACATAAGTTTACGTAATGGGATTATACAATAGTATACGTGCGTGCCACTGTCTTTTCCGACTATCTATACATGCCATTCAATGTAACGAATCATTGCATTTTACAGAATTTGCATATTCAAGACACCATTATCTCGTCAATCTCATAATTGCTGGTAAAATAAATGGATGGTAATAATAATATTTGTCTTTTCCAATATATATTTCGAGAATCAAGAGAAAGGTGTGTATCGATCGAAGCGATAGAAATAATAAAACCATGTTTCTAATAGAATCGAGTTAATAATTTCGATAGCAAATACTTTTTACACAGCTCTTGATATAACATAATTATAATATTATATATATATATATATATATATATATATATATATATATAATCTCATATACGAAATCCTACATTTGTTGAACTAGAAATAATATTTAGATTTGCATTTGCGTTATATTGAATGAGACATTATATTTTGAACAAATTCAAATTCATCGTTACTTACAAATTAAAACGCTCATAATTGTCTCTGTCTCTCTTTCTCATATATAAGCATACTATTTGTCGCGAAGCAATAGCTTCGCACGACAGCAAATGAGACATTAATTTTTCGCATGTCTGCTCACCAAATTATTACGTTAATTATGTATACGTTGCAATTGATGAATCTAAATTTGCGTATCAGCGAACGTGTGTCGCGAGAAATTTATACGATCCAAATTTGTAACGCTTCGTATAGCTAGGCGGAGCACGGAAAATATCAATACACATGCATGCATGAGAGGTGACCGACAAAATTCGCTAAAATTCGGGGACATCGAGCTAGACGAAATGGATAGCAACGTTTCAGCTACGCTACGGCCTCTTTGTCGAAAGCATTGGCACAATTCGGTCTAATAGATTTTAACCGACGATAGAATTAGACAGTGACAGGAAAACGTTTTTACTGGAAACGAAATGCTAGAATTGCAATCGCGACGAATTTACGAGTAGATAACTTCGTTTATTTATCCGATCGCGCACGTAGACGAGCATCCTTGAAATTTCGACGAAGCACAACAAACACACCCCGCTGGATAACGGCGATCAAATTTTTTTTCTTTTCTTCTTTTGTTTTACCGAGGTCGCGTCGCAATTGAAGCACAATCTCGTCGCGATAACGACTTCGGTCGTCAGGGACGATTCGTCAAATTAATCGAAAAGATGCGCGTGTGATTCACCTCGCTGTACAACTGCAATGCAATATCGGACGATAATTTAAATCCGGGCGTTGTCAAAATGCTTGTGTAATAACGACGGGTGTAATGAGCGATTCGTCAAATTAAGCGAAACGAATGGTATACGCAATTTGCGTTGCTTTACCACGCGGCTATGGTCGTGATCATTAATTGGAAATTGCCAGGAATCTAAGTGCACGTTTGCGTCATTGCGATAACAATTTTGTAATACTTATTAATTCATTAATTAACGAAAAGAAAAAAAGACAGCAAATTTCATTCGACACGCTTCATTGCGTTTAAACGCGTTTGTATGTTAATTCTAGTCGTCGATGTTAAATCCGATTATCGAGTAATGTTTCAATAATGGAAGATGCTGTAACCGGGGGATGCATGGAGATGTAACCAACAGGATTGTTCGCGGGACCATAAATATATCAAACAATACAGTTAAAAATTCGTTACAAAATATGAAATACTATAAAACAAAAATAATGCTGTTATAATGTACGAACATAATTTCAATGAATATAGAATCTCTTGGTGCAGAATCGGGTAACATCGGGCTTTTAATAGTGCAATATCATATAAAGACGTATTATATGTCTGAATTGGCGCGTATCATAAAATATTTTTTAACATTATTTCCTTATTGTTCAAGTAAAAAAAACCTGACCTCGTATTTCTTGATTGTTAGAATAAAAAACCAAATATTGTTACACATCTTATCTTCTGTTCTATTAATTACGTTCTATGACAAATGCATCCCAATATTTTTGAGAATTTAATAAAGACACAATAGATCATGAAGAATAGGTTTTAGTGCAAATTGATGGATCGTGCGAACTGCGACGAGGCTTCTTATAAAAAGCGACTTCCAATTATGCGGCCGATCAATCTCGCCTGAATATCGCCGGGCAAATTATCGGAAAAAATGGACGCGTTGGAGATGGTTGATGCAACGAAAACTCACGCGGGCGAGAGCGATCTCGCGCAAATGTCGTTCAAATGGACGTAGATGGAACGCCGCCATTTTTACGGGGCATCGGAAATCGGAAGCTGCCCCATGGCCCCGCAGTCGGGACGCACACTTTCTGACACAATCGGCACATTCGGCGTGCACGTCGGCGAGGCACTGCGACGCGCAGATTCCGTCACTTCGGGGACATTCGGTGAAAGACTGGGAAAAGGGGACGACGTTGGAATTCCTTTCCGGTAATACCGAGCCTGGTGGAACAAAAGGAGCGTACTTCACTTCAACGCGAACGGGAAGGTATACCAAGACGGACCAAATCCCCAAGGTCGTTTATTAGCTGAGGAGAAACCCGAAGTTGAACGGTGTGGGTGAGGCTGAGTCCTCGTGCGGGTGGTAGAGGAGGCGCCACCACGAAGGAGGCGTCGCAAGGGTGGCGTCGCAACCGGTGTACGTGTGCAAGCGTATCCATGCTCGCTCGGATGGACGGTGGTGGTCGCGGAAGGTAGGGGAGAGATACGGATAAATGGACAGGTAGATAAATAGACAGAGAAGAGAGGCGAGACGAAAGAGAAAGACGGAGTATCTAGATATGGGTTCTGCGGGTTGCGGATCCGTTCGTCCGGTAACGTGATTTCAGTTCGATATTTGATTTCGAAGCAGAATTAGAGCTCAAAATCCGTGTACAAGTCGCTGCGATACGACGTCAAACAAAGTTAACACCTCTCAAACGTATACGCTGATTAAATAAATTATTAGAGTGCTCGTCAATATTATAATCCAATTACAAAATGTCTTGCAAGCGCTGTTCTTGTAACGGTCTTTCACAAGCAGATCGTGAATATAGCATTTATCCGTCACACAGTTACCATCATTAATATCATTCTCATAAATAGTTATAAGAATAAGAAAATAATTAATTATTTATACAAGACCATATCAAATTCTTATCCTACGATGTACAAAATTTATTTTTCTTGTGACTAACATCTTATTCAACTTGTTGAAAAACTAATTAAAAAATCTATGTAATTATATAGGTAATTATAGGTAATTACTTTTTATTAACGTCACAGTTATTAAAATACTTTTCTCTTTTTGTTGAAAAGAAATTTTGTGTTCTCTTCTGTTTTCATAATTTTAAACTTTTGCGTCTTTTGTAAATATTTTTCCATCATTTATACTATCATCTAATATCAGCAAAGTAAAAATCGAGTGTGGCAATGAAGTCCTTTTTAAAACACAATAAAGTAAAAAATTGAATATTCGAACATAAATAAACTCCCTGCTTATAATATTCGTTATTTCAAAAAAATTTGACAAAATTATATTACTCTCTGTAGGATCATATTTTATCGTGCCATGTACTGTGTATGACACGTCCTTATTCTTTTTTAACCGCGTCATCGGGATGTAAGAAGAACAGAATGAATGTAAAATTCGATCGCGCCTAGAATGGCGTCGCGCCACGCCTCGGAGGAGCAAAATCGCCCACTTTCGTAAAATATACGACCAGGCAATATTTTAAGGGCTCCTGGCGTAATAATACTATCGTGCCTCGTAGGGCGTTACAGCTGCTATGGCGAACAACCATAAAAATTCAACGAACGAGGATCGTTCCCTGGCGATGAAGAACGTTATACGGCCAAAAGTTAAGCACTGTACCTGTATCTAATCTACCGTTATCTACTCCGACAGATTCGACCATAGTTTTGATAGTTTTGTAAATCAACAAGAGCTGTTTTACTCCCTAGAGATTTGATAAAGTTTACACAGCAAGCAATTATCAAGCAATATAAAAAATCAAGATTAATATCTATAATAAAGATTTCATAGTAATATAAAAATACACGTCACTATGTTCTTAAATATATATATAATAATAGATACCTTAATTTCTTTTATCATTTTTGAAATTTTATCAAATAAAAAAAATACCAAAATATTTTTTAATGTTACAATTTTTTTGTATGTTTTCACAAACTTTTATTATAGATTTAAAGCTAAAACTAGAAATGAATCTAATCTTATTTTAAAAAATT